TGGGTTCGTTCGTTTTTTCATGTTTTTGTGTACCGTTTGCCGAACTCTTTTATATCCTATGTTTATCTTATCTTTAATTATTGCTATTGCTCGTCTGTTTTTCACAACTGGTGTTTGTGGTTGTTTGCTTGTGGACGTTGTTGCTTCTGCCGATTGGGGGTTTGGAGTTTGTATTGTGCGTCGTTTGCTAGCTAATTCGTCCTTTGGCCATATTTGTACGTCGTACATGACTTCAGCTGGAAATGGCGCCTGTGTTAGGTTTTTCCGATCTAAATATGAGTTTTTTGCATTTTCCCAACTTAGATTATTAGGGGAGCTACTAGTGACTAAGTTTGAGAGTGCATTTTTTGGCTTTCTTCTCATGTGAACTTCAAATTGTGAGATTTTTGTTACTTCATGTGGAGTGATTCAAATTGTTTTCCTAATTTCGGCTACGTCTGAGGCTAATTTATACGGGGTATGGTTTTTGTCTAATCTCACTACCCCCAATCTTCGTTTTATTGTTTGGATCATTCCTTCTACTGCCCCGATCGATCCACGATCATCTATCGGTGCAAAAGTTAGCTTGATGTTACTAGTGTTTATTATTTAGACACCCCATTATTTGAAATATATCGTTGCATAATTTTTTTTTTGTAATGTCTACCGTTGTGTTTGAAACGAAATTTGCCATCGGAATTTTTGACCACTTATCTATAGCAACATATATGTATGCAACCTTATTAGGTCCATTGGGAAAGGGCCAGGCAAAGTCTAATGGAAATTTCTCGTTTGGTTCAACCACTGAACCCATTTGGAACGAATGTTGCTTCCCTGTTGCAGCTTTTAGATTTTTACTTTGTTCGGTGCATTGCCGGCAGCTCTGTGCCATCTGCAGTAAGGAGCGGTGTATGTGCGGGAACCAAACATGTTGACCTAGGTCCAACATAGCTGCTGACCCGGAATGCGTTAGATGGATGCTTTCTAACACTGTTTGGCGGAGTTGAGTCGAAATTGCTATTCGCTCATCCATCAGTAGGCAGTCCTCTGGAAAATGCACTGTCCTGGATGTTGTATCAGTATTGTCAGTATGCATTTTTAATTGCCTACCAATCGCGTTTCTTGACACAATTGTAGAGTAGTGGCATATTTCTATCTATCTTTCTTAGTGGCAGCGGCAAAATATTTTTTAACAAGGTCTTTTTGAAGTTTCCCCTCTAAGAACGGCGTAACTTCTTCCAATTCTAAATTGGTCCCTATTCGAGCGTTGCGACCAGTCTCTCCGTGATTAACTCATGGCTGGCTTCTAATTGTGTTTGGTGAGTCGTTGTCATAGCTGAGGCTCGATGTTGAGTGGGAGCTCCTCCTGACTGGATTGTGTTGTTTCCACGCGGCTCGCACAATACTCGTACTTTTCGTGTACTGCTGTTGAGAGCGTGGAATTCTCTCTCTGCGAAGTTTGCGTAGAGTTTTCGTTTTGTTTTCTCTGCGGTGGGTTTTTCTCGATGCTTTTTGAAAAGAGCGATTGAAGAGGGATAGACCCGTCAGTAACTCTCTAGCTCCTTGACTTCCGCTTGCGGGGGTGTTTGTGGAGTTCGTATTTTGTCTGTCGAACAATTTTCAATCGTGATTGTCGTTATTTGTCGGTGGTGACAGCGTGGGTTTGACAAGCTCTCCTCCCGGTCTGATTCGCCCTGCTCATTAATACTAAATTTTTTAATTGTCAAGTAGTGAGATTGCGAGGTTTTCCTCGTCCAGTTTCAATAAGTGGGTCTTAATTTTTCTTTATGTAGCTCGAATGATCCTTTGGTCATTTTTAATATGTTATCTAATTAAGCATATATATTTTGCAGTTTGCGCGCGTCAATATGATTGCTTTTTGGAATTCTGCCGGTATATCTGTTAGGCCGAAGAATCCTGTCTGGAATTGATAAGTCCTGGTGGCGTAGCCTTCAATAAGGCTGAAATAGAATTGCGCTCTTGTACGTTTACCCGAAAGGATTTGTGAGTATGCGTACCGTAGGTCAGGCGTTGAAAGTAATGTTTGGTAGTTTGCATCTGATTTTACAAATTGTGCAGTATTGTCCAGGAGGATATCCATGTTTGGCATTTGGTATTTAATTTGTGGATGAATTTGTTGATCTTTTTGGTGTATAATGCCAATTTTATGTTTGGTCCTTCTTTACCGATACTTCAATCGGGCTTATAAATTGTTTGTCCAATTCTTTATCCAATTTGATGATGTGTTTTCGGTCAATCAGTGTGTTTAGTTTTTTCAAATCTTTTTTATAAATTTGTTGGAATCCTACGTCCTTTTTGCCGGATAGGTATTGCATCTTTTTTGAAATGTTTTCGCATTACGTGTCTTTTTGGTTTTCCAATTTGTATACACAGTTGTCTGAAGTTTTTCAACGCAATGTATAACTTCGGGGTTCAAGTCTTCCGTTTCTCGTATAATTAGCATCTGGTTTTTTTTTGTATTGGTCTTTGCCGATTTTGGGTAGTAGGTTTCTACTTATTTTGTTCGCTTTCTGGTCATCCACTATTATGAATGGTGCTGATTGTATTGTCCAACCTCAGGATTCAAGCGCAATTATTAGTCTTCCTTCGGGAATGATAAATTCGCCGTTGCAACATTCTAAATTTCTTGCCGCGTGTTCCGGTGTGATATGTTCAAACATCGTCGATTTGTCATTTTTCTGTAATCTGAGTGCCGTTTGTTCGCGTAGAAATGACATCGGGCTTCCCGAGTCCGCGATGGTGAATATAACATCCGTGTTTGTTTTTAGTTTAACAATATGTCCGTTTAGATCATCTTCAATCAAGTTCTTTACCTCGAACGCCCCAGATATTGCCATTAATGAAAATTTATTTTTCCCAGCCGTTAGTGGATGAAAAATCCATGAACGCAACTGCATCGTTTTCTGTCATTTCGTTGGTTCCTTCCGGTTCTTCTTGCTGTTCTTCGTTTCTATCTTCTAGATAATTAACTTGTGTTAGTTCGGCATACTTTAGCAAAATGCTCCCGTTTGGCATTTTTTGAGCAATTTTTATCTTTTGCTGGACAAGATTGTAAGTGGATTGAGTCAAATGGTCTGCCGCACTTATAACGTTGTTTTTGTTGTACGTTAGAAGTGTGTTGTTGGCCCCTCGTACTCACTCCGCGAAATCTGCCACGGCCTCTTTGTGTATACTGTATGTGTGGAGTTTTACCCGTGAAGTTGGTCTCAACTGCGCTTCAGTACAAATTTACCATTGTGTCAAGCTCATTCATATTCTGCATTTACAAACTAATACAAAATGTCCTTTTAAAAATTTTTTTTTACCTGTCTACACCTTTCCGGGGTCCAATTAAGCAATTTATGTTTCTATCAACTGGACAAAAAATAGTACTTTTTGACCGTTCTGACCCAAGCTAATGAAACAAACAATAAATTCCAAAAAAAAACAATCGAGATTTCACTGATTTGACTTTTCTTAAGTCAGTACAGTTTTTGAACAAAAAAAGATGGCGTAGCTGCTTCGAGCGGGAATTTTTTTTCGAGGCTGTTGTTTTGATTGAATATATAACAGGGACCCACATACACTGGGATGATTCCCTTAACCAAGTTTTTAATGAATGAACTCAGAACAAATTTTTTAGGATTTTGGCAGGGTAGTTTACGAGAGAATGAAGTCCGAATGAACTTTTTCCGAATTTGACAGGTCAGCTTATGAGAAAAACAAATCTGCAGAAGACACCAACATGATTTAAGATTCAACAAACGAAATTTTACGATGGATTTAACGCATTTTGTTCAAAAACTAAAAGGTCGCCGCTCCTACACAAAATCTTTCACAACTTAGTCTCTGAGAGAAAAATTTAAGAAAATTGTTCAAGTATTCCCACCGTTGAAAACATCGAAGGCCGTTGAAAATTAAGTGAGGTAAAAAGAGACTAGTTAATTATGCAGACACACAATGTAGTATCCGGTACTTTTAATAGTCCTATTTTTTGGAAAATCGATGATATAGTTAGTGAGAATTTTCAGCGACTTTCGAAAAAAACTCTGAAGCGTCTCAAAAGTATAAAAATGACAACCCATACCTATTCTTAATCCCCGATTTTGTCAATCAGAAATTGTTACCTCAGAACTACCAAAATAATTTAGGTATTCGGATAAAAGCAGAAACCGTTGAACCGACGAAAAACTTAACAAATTTATGATTGTTAAAACCAGACTTCGTGAAGCGACAAATTACAGAAGTTTATATACAGTTTAGAAAGTTTATAAAATTACGCGTTTGAAAGAATCAAATTCAAAACCATGCTGACAAAGTAGGCCAATAATAAATAATACCAGATAACGTAATGATCCGACGGAAAGTAGGCCGAAAACCACTGATCCGAGAAAAAATTCAACTACTTTTCATGATTATTATTGAAAAAATGTTTACTGCCGGAAACATATAATCCGTATTTACTACCTAAGAGAAAGCATTTTTTAAAGTTATCAAGAAATTGAGAATGTCTTGAAATTTACCAATTTGATCATTCTATGAACAAAAGTATTCACAGGAAAAACGTCTAGCACCCTCGCTAGGGTAATAATAAAAAAACATACGTTGAAACGACAATGAAAACTCATTAAAAACACTTTATGTGATTATATCTTGAATTAAAAGCAACCTCCTTTACCAGTAAAATCATAAAATCACTCGCTATGAAAATCATAAATTTTGACAATATGAAAACTTCCGCAGTAGCCTTTTTCCCCGAATGCAAAGTTTTCGTAAATTTCATGAATCTAGTACCGATCAGAAAGTTGTATGTGTGGAATTCTACCCGTGAAGTTGGTCTCAACTGCGCTAGCACAAGTTTACCTTTGCGTCAAGCTCATTTATATTCTGCATTTAGCTTTTCGAATGAAATCATGAGAGAAGCAAGCTACCTTTTGTCTAAAAAGGGCCACCTGTCATCATCTGTATAGTCTCATTTTGCGACCAAAGCCTTTTAAAAAATATTACCTCTGTGAGATAAAAACATGTGCAGTGATAAATATACACACAGTTTATATATTCTAACATTATTATATAATAAGCACGTCTAGTCCCGTCTGTACATGCAATTTCTTCCAGCCATTAATTCATTACACTGTTTGCACGAAGAAAAAACTGTAAATAAGTCATCGAGTCACTCAACATTTTAATTTACTCGCCCTCCTTTAAAGTATTAAAACGTTTCGATACTTATGATACGACTGACACGTTTTCGAAAACCCTGTAAAATCTAAGTTGACAGGAAACCAAACCCTAGATCGTAATAAACTTCTGAAACCTTCTCCGTATATTGACAAGATTTACAAGAAAAATGTAGTGCGCGTAGCAATAAGAGTTTTTGCTTTTACCTTAATGGCAGTTGTATGTATTTGAATTGTCTGAAGTAGTCAGATGTATGATTTAAACGCATCCTTTTTTGACAATTGAGCAAAATTATCTAATTTGACTAAAATTATCACCTTCATTGAACTCAGCGTTTGTTTAGAAAGCGAAAGGAGCTGCCAAGGCTTTTGTATATGTAACTCTTAATTCATTCTAACCTTAGACTTCCCCGAAAGAACTTATACGAATGGCGAAGAGAATGAGTTGCGAGGACTTAGAGGAATTTGTAGACAAGCAAGTGGATGTGAACAAGTTCAGATACCTGGGTCTGGGGTACATCAAGTACGTATAGTTTTTACTTGTCCCTCTTTAAGTTTTCTAGGTGCAAGTATGACAGTTGGGTCCCTAGAGAATTAGAAGGGTCCACGGAAGTTTTTTGTGAGCTAAATTTATCCGAAACAGGGTGAGCATTCGTCTAATTGGTGAAATTTTGCCAAAAAGTCGCAGGACCCATATTTCATACTTGCTTTTAAAGGGACTCAGCTGTCATAACTTAACATTTTATTCTTAAATAGGTTGCAATTAAAAATTTCAGTCCCAATTCAAGCTACGAAAAAAAAAAAGTTTCTGAATATGTATGATTTAAAAAAAGTTCTTGGAAAAAAAAGTTTTACATTTTCATTTTATCTTTTTTTTTCAGCGCCATGATCCTAATATATTCGCTGCTCCTCCCGTTTGTCTACTTTCCCACCATTTTCCCTTATCTTTGCCACAGTTACGTCATCCTGAACATTCTCGTCTTCTGTTATCTGTGGGTGTGTCTGGTTTACAACTACTTCCAGATGGTATTTTCCAGGTAAGCTCCACACTTTCCTTCTGGACCAGTTGACATCCTCGTCTTCTCCGCCCAAAGCCGTGGATGTTAACATGGTCCTAACTTGGTCCTAAGGTTTTTTCAACCAATCAGAAACGAGTAACTTAGCAAATGTAATTCAAAATAAATGCTGTGGAAGAATCTTCTTCCTTTTAAAATTGATTGTTCTGATACGAAAATCATAATCAATTAGTTTTCGGAAGCAAACGTACGTAAAAGATGAGACAAATAGCACATCAGAATTTGAAACGGTTATATCTAACACCTCCCGTACCCAGAAAATGCTTTACTTCTGGCCTGGAATACTTTACATCTAATCTTATTTTCTATGCAGAAATTCTTTGTGAAATGTTTAAATGAAGCAGGAATTTTCTTAAAATTCTTTATTTCTTGTCTTATTTCTGATCAGAAAGCATGTTTATCTCGTTGCGGTTGAGCACTGAGGTGATTGATTTCTGGCTGAATTGTTTATTTTTAAACTAAGAAAGTACTGAAATTGTTTATTTTTAAACTAAGTAAGTAATATACCATTTCTGTAACAAAAAAGAATTGGCTAGGTAATGTAAAAAACATTTTTATCTAGAAAAACAGCCTTCGTTGGGTACGGGCTTGTCAAATTAAAGTAAAAAGATCCTTTAAACTTTTTTGAACATAAATACTTTAAATAAAGAAAATGAGCTGCTCATATTCTAAGCTTTTGTTGGAGTGAAACACAAAAAAAAAACCGTTTTATAATAAAGAAACTGAAGGCGAAATGAATGTTTCGAAAAAAACAGTCAACAGCTTCGTTAACAAGTTTATTCCGCTAAAAACAAACACAGCTACTGCCCAGATTTGAATAAGTAATGTAATTATACATGCTTATAAAACAACAATAATTGCTCAAACTTACTGTAATGACCAGTTACAGTCAAGTGCATTTGATTATCGAAACCAAAAAAAAAATCTGGGGGCACTTCGTAGGGACTCAAAATTGGAGTTTTACTAAAGTCAAGTTATGACAATATTTAAATAACAACCGAATGGAACAAAGAGTTAAGCACTTTAACACGAAAAGATAGGGGTAAAAAAATGACTCAATACATTACTGTGGTTATTAAACCGATGATTTGAACGTTTTCATTATATCAGTAGGTACAAAAAAAACAAGTAGGTACAAGTAGGCTAAAATTGGCGGCCAAGAATTTTGAGAAAAATAGCTTTAACTTCTGTAAACGGAACAAATTTCTTTCAATGAGCGGATTTTAAAAACCAAAGAAAGAAAGCTCGAAATCAGAATCTATATTTTAATGATTTTTTTAAAGTCAAAAACAGTTTTTAACTGAAAAGTAAACGTCTAAACTTGTTTATCACGATGAATTTTTGTCATATCGAAAAGCAGAAACAAAACATAATTTAGCAAACTATAAAGCATCAACAATTGAATTAAAAAACTTTCAATCTGAAAAAAGTTGAAAGCATACGTCTTTCATGAGATGGGCTTAAATTAGACTACATAAACATAAAAAGAGTACCCAAATAAAGCAGAATCCATAGCGGTCTCGGAACTGAAACAGACCTGCCCATTTCCGATTGAAACATGGACCATACCGGCCCAAAATTAGAAAAAAGTGAGGTTTTGAGCAGATCAAATCTTGTTTTTGAGTTTTTGAAGTTTACTGGCAGGCTGTTTATTTGAGCAATCATCAATCATACTTTTCTCTTTTTCAGACGGGACTTCTACCGTCCAGCTGCAGTAGATCCGAGCAGGACAGCCCGCATGCATTACTGCGACGTATGTAAAGCCACTGTTTTGAAAAGAGATCACCATTGCTACTTTTACGGAGTGTGCGTTGGATATTACAACTTGAAGGCAAGTATTCATAGTCATCTGCATTTAATATTAACAAAAAGTCGAAATTTGACCGAAAAAAAAACGGCCTAAGCATCATGCATAAGTATTCCGCTTTCGTCGAAAGGCGGAGCAAAAGCCGAAGTAAGGTTAATGCCGAATTGTTAGTATTATTCTTTTTAATCAACGAATCTAAACAAAATAATCAATCTAAAAAAGCTCATTTTGAAGTCTGAAATCAATTTTGTACTCCCTTGAGTACTTAACAATTGTATCAAAAAATCTAACCATTCTAACACAAACTTTTTTTGACCAATTAAGACGCTTTAGGTCAGCGATATTGCCATTTACAGTTTGACATTAATATATAACCCAGTTACCATATATTACAGGCGACCCGAACTCTATATTTTGTTGTAGCACTTCATGTTTATTCCATACTGGGGGGCCGTTTGCTGTGCTTATTCTCTCTTCGTATTCACCATCTACTACCCAATCGCGTACGATTTCAACCCAGACAACCTCTCCAAACTAGTCAACCATATTATGGGACATATTCTCATGGCTGGATCCAGACGCCAATCTTTTTTTCTGGTAGTCAACATGACCCTTGCCATTTTGGCAGTTCTAAATACACTTCTGCTACCTCTCATCACACTCAATGTTTCTCTACTTGACAGCTGTCAATCAGACTACGTATGAACACCGCAAAGGCATCAAAACGTATTCTCGCAGTCTTCGTCAGAACTGGACTGAAGCCCTTGGACCAAAATACTGGATGCTCTTTTTCTGTCCATGGAG